TGGTGTTTTGACTGGTGAACTAAATATTACCCAATCCTTCTCTCATAAGGTACTTACATACGGCGATGTACATAATTTCATTAAGCTAGTAACCCGAAATAAATGATGTTGCTCTGAATGGTGATATTTTTCGAAGGAGTGGACATACCATATAATGGAAAGAGTAGTAACACCCCTAAAGATCAGTACCAATAGTATTAATGCTAATGGTCGTTTTCTTGAAATGTAGGGAATAGGACGAGATTACAGGTTTAAATGAATCTACCGCTTCATTTTTATTTATATCGTGACATGTAGACCCGTTGCTGGGCAACTACTAGGTAAACACGTTCCCGTGGAGACAGATTCTGGGTAAACAGACCGTTGCTAGGTGAAGCCTGCAACAATACGCGACAGCTAGAGCAAACATGTGACTGAACACGCTGCGTTAACTGTGTTGCGGTAGGTCCTAACTTAAGGATATATCGTTTAAATACTTTTCCACAGGTGTGGTATTTATTCGTAAAATAATACGCATTTGTCTCTACTGCGTAATTACAATAAAACGCAGTGTGCAGGTAGTGAATCACAACCTTTCTTAATTTGAAAATTCATTTGCAGATGACAGAGTTCAACATGACTGAGCTAGAAATTGAAGTGTCGTATCATATTACGAACGGCCGCGCCAAAGCTCAAGCAGTTAGTCGCTGGCTTCCCACCGCGGCGGCCCGGGTTCGATCCCGGGTCTGGTCAAGTGGGATTTATGGTGGACAAAGTGGCGCTGGGACAGGTTTTTTCCGAGTATCATTGGAGATAATATTTATTATAAACTGCAAGCATGCCTATATAAATACGAGATCTGACAATAAAGATCGCGAACTCGCCACCGTGTGCTTGTTGTGGCAGCAATGGACGGAAACCTCAGTATGGTTTGATGACGTTGGCATATCAGCGTTTCACAGCTGTGTTGTTGTTGATCTGTGGCAGTCCCTTTCTGAGTGGCGTCTATTATTGTTTGAGCGTGTTTTGGTTTGCCGTCGTGAGAATGTCGGAGCTTGAATTAGAACACTGTCTGTGAGGAAGTTTTAGCTAGTAAACAACTGTGCTGGAACACCCTCCCTATTCACCGGATCTACCCCCCAATGCTTATTTTTTTCTGTTCCCTAAGATAAAGGAAATATTGAAAGGAAGGCATTTTGATGACATTGATGACATCAGGAGTAATACGACGGTATCTCTGAAGGCCATTCCGCAAAACCAGATCCAAAGTTGTTTTGAAGGGTGTACTAGGCGCTGGCATCTGTATATAGCTTCCTACGGGGAGTACTTTGAAGGCAATCACAGTGATATTCAGCGGTGATGTATGTATCATTTTTACCGCGACGAGTTCGCGAACTTTATTGTCAGACCACGTAGCATTAAATGAGTAGGGTAGAGGTAAAGTTGCCCACAGCCTGAATCAGTCATATACTCACGTAATCGGATGATTTGGACCAAGTTATTGTTCTGGTTCGTAGGTACATATAGGACTTCGTACTCTTTTTGATTTGCATATGTTTAACTGCTGTATTTGCTCACCGGTTATCCATATTTGACTCACGGTTCTGATTTTATCAAAATGTCTCTGTTTTCATTATATATATTTAAATCGTAACGACAAATTAAAACTCTTAAATTACACAGTTTCGGATTACCGTAGCAATGAACACGTTATGTAGCAGGTCCCGACGAACGAATAATCTTTTGTTTCGGCATATCGTGTCTGCTCTTTGAAGGACTTATATTTTGATATCAGTGTGAGGAGTGTAGGTACTGTTTATCACGGACTGCGATGTAGTTTATGGAGGTTTGGAGGGTTTATTTTCTTTAAAACATGCTCCAAGACTATTTCCATATGGACCAGTTCAGCAAAATCGTGTCGAGAGTTGTAATCTGACGCCAAGAGGATAACCCAAGCGAACATTTGCTAGATATAACGTATATAGGCCGGTGTACTTCTGCGACTTCTTGAGTGCACACTCCCATGAATAATACGAGATATATCTGAGGGAACCCTAGGCGTATATAATCTCAAGCATATTCAGCAGCAACTTCATATGACTGGTTATGTGGCTTGTTGCCATTAGTCGTCTGGATAGTACGCTCAGGTTCGGAATAAAGAGGAACATGTTAGATATATGACTCGAATGTATCTTCGCACAAGCCTGCATAGAATGGGTTCTATAGTTATTTTAGGTTGTCCGTCAGTACTGTTAAGAACTTCTTCACTGATATGGTCGACATCATTTCCTGAGCATTAATTTATTAATGTAATTTGTAGAATCAATTGCAGACGACTCTTGATCCACGTATCCTTAATTAATCAAGCAGCTCCCCTAAGTTGTTTCTGAACAGCAACGATGCCATAGGGTAAATGTAGAAGCCTCGTACCTTCCATTAGTGTAACAAATCTCTAAACTTGTCTGTTTCTGTGTTTTGCTTCTGATGAGGCACGGTATTCTCCGGAACCGGCATGTAGCAGATATGATCCCTCTATTAATACTGTCAGTTTATTTCAACAGCGACCTTGGTAGTTCAGTCGGTGTAGCGACGTGCTACGGCCTGCATGACCGACAAACCGGGGTTCATTCTCCGCATGGTCAATAGATATTCTTCTTTTCCACAGTAGGACACGCGGTAGCGTAGACGGTTGAGGCACTGTGCTACAAGCCGAGAGGTCGCGGGTTCGTTTCCCGATGAGGCCATTGGATTTTCAATCGATCTAATCCTTTCAGCTGCACTATGGCCCTGCGGTCGACTCAGCCTCTAACAAGAATGAGTACCAGGAATCTTCCTGAGTGTAAAGGGCGGCCGAAGCATAAGGCTGACAACCTTATCTCCATATGTGAGCAGATTTTCTAGAGAAAGTGGGAGCCTGGACGTCTGACAACCTTATGGGCCCCCACGGCCCGTTGCAGGGATAGCTTCTACACAGTATGGAGACGGCTGTGCTCCTTGCCCAGTTTTCTATGCGACTGGTATCGTGGGCTCCTTTGCCGGGGGTAAAGCAGCCTGGCCGTGAAGCTGACCAGTCAGCTGCACCTAGTGTCGAGTTTAAGATTACGTGGATCTGTACCTCCACATGATGCTTAATTAATTAAGCACAGGGACAGCTTTACTTCTGCCTCTGCTGTATCTAATTTGGTATAAATCTCTTTCCCGCGGTTGGTAGCGTTATCAGTGAGAAAGGACGTGTGTTACGAGCACCCAGTCTCTTCCATGTGCTGTTGCCTTACGTCGCGTCGCATTGCTGGTGTCTGCCCTCGCGCGATAAAATTATTCGCGAAATTGTCAGATCGAGCCACTCCGCGTCGTGATTCCAGTGCCTGTCGCTTTTCGGTTGACCTATCTCACGATAATCTCAACGCTGAATTTTTCCCCTCTGCCACGTCGCAGTTAAAGCATCATGACTATAATTGTCCTTGTACCTGGCTCCAAATAACTTCATGCAGTGGAATTATTAATGTCGTTACGAGGACAGTACATGCATCATGATTCGCCCTTAGTCTTTGTTAATGTAACTAAGGTGTACTTGCAAGAGCCGGGATAGCTCAGTCGGTATAGCGACTGGATACGGGCTGGCGACCGAGGGGTCGGAGTTCGAGTCCCAGTAGTATCAAGAACTTTTCTCCACGTCGTCCATACCGGTTCTGGGCCCACCCAGCCTCCTATGAATGGGTACCTGGGGCTCTTTCCCCTAGATAAAGCGGTCGGGGCCTGACGCTGACCACTCATCTCCAACTAGTGCTGAGGTCCAGAGAATGTGGATCTATACATTTACACCCCCATACGCCTTCATGGCATAGTAATTAATTAGTTGGACACAGGGACAACCGGAACCTTAGTTTACCTTTTTGGTGTACTTGCACCTTGCATATGATTTTACGTGATAGTTCTCGGACGTGGAATATAGATCTGTTCTAAATGTTTGTGATGTTTGATCTCAGTTAACTGATTAATTTCCTTAAGGAAAGAAAATCGGCTAGTAATACTTCTGTGCTGTTCGCTGTTGTACGCGTTGCTGTGGCTGTTGAAACGCTACGAATTCTACAGAGATGAAGGATTGCAGTTAATCCTAACTCTCTCTTTGTGTTTACCTCTTAAATAAGAACGAACTTCTTGGCGAGAAGTGATCATTATGACTGCTAATTACAGCGAATACTACATTTTGAATTTTAAAATCCAACAAACCGAGAAGAAACAAGTAAAATAAATGTAAATGATTAATTAGTAAACCTATTTCATATTACTGCTGAGGAGAACGGAGGAGCACAGTTAACTTATCTTCAGCCTATCTGAGTGGAGGATTTCCGCCGTATGCACTATAGCCAGTGCAAGAATTGGAGACGAGAGAGCTTGTTGAGCTTTTAAAGTTTTATACATACTGCGAAATAATCTTTAGTAAATTTTGTTCAGTCCACAGCTTTGTCACACGTTTTATGAATGCTTCACATTATCCTCTTCTTGTGTCTGCGTGTCATGTCTCTTAAAGTAGAAATGTACTCCTGGCTCACACCCTCACGTTATTTCTATTGGTGTAGCTGGTGTAGGGACTGAAGAGCCTCTTGCAGGTTACAAGATATGATTCATTTGCCAGAGAAGCATCGCGTTTTATTGAGTGGAGAGCACCGATTAATGTTTAAGAATTTCAAGCCTTAGGGAAATATCAGCCAGTGTATTTGGATCATGTTTTTGGTTTCTTAAACTTGTGTGTGGTATATAAAATTTATTACATTGTGAATTAGAAAAATGTGCAGGGTTCCCTTAAATGCGTTAGTCGCTGGCTTCCCACCGCGGCGGCCCGGGTTCGATTCCAGGTCTGATCAAGTGAGATTTGTGGTGGAGAAAGTGGGCTGGGGCAGGTTTTCTCCGAGTACTTCGGTTTCCCCTCCCAATCTTCATTCCACCAATTGCTCCACAATCACCCTCACCTATCATCTGGGGCTGGTACAATAGGCCAGAAGTGGCCGCAGTACAAGGAACTTAGTCTCACCCCACTAGCAATAAAAAAATGCGTCCCTAAAATTTGATTATGTTTATGTTTCATTGGACAATGACATTTGTGCTTCAAATACAGTTTTATAAGTACTGGGAATAGCTACTGTATTGACTCAAATTTGAATACTTCTCTGTAAGTTTGCCAGTTCCACACACAAAGTTGTTCTAGAACAGTCTAACCGTCCGCTTAGAACTACTCTCTCGACTTACTCAGCTCTAACAACTTTTAGTTTACAATTATGAACGTGCAGCTGAGAGCGAAGATATGCTACACAAAAGCACGAATATGTGTTTGTTTTTGTTTGTCCGGAAACACAAATTTCTCGTAGAAGACGTCACTTACTTTTTAAGTTACATTGTTAATTTCCTCCTGATATTCTTAACTAATTACAGTTCATTGAAGGTTTATGATTGCCTTGGTTTTACAACACAAATGAAGTATACGGTATATAATTTTCTAATAGAGTCTTCTGATTTAGATGTGTATACGTAAGGAATTAAATGGCATCGAGTACGTTACCGTGGAGGTCTCCAGTTTCTGTTGCGGTATCGGCACAGGAGAACCTTCTTGAAAGCTTGCCGGAACACTTTGTTGAATATAGTATAGAAAATGGGATTGACCATAGAACTTGCGTATCCTAACCACGTCACGAAATCGAATACTCCGTGATGAATGTTTCGCTCGCAGTCCGCGCACACTGTGGGAACTAAGTTCAGTACAAAGAATGGGGCCCAAAGAATCACAAACGTGAAGAATACCACTCCGAGAACTTTGGTCGCCTTCTGCTCCAGCCGTATGATCCTTCCGTGACGCGAGGAGTTGCGAGAGATGACACTAGAATTGCGGCTGTGATGACTGCGAATGGTTCCTGTCCTGCTGCTAATGGAAGTTGTGTTCGAAGCTCCCCTCCCAGAACCGTAATGCATCAGTAAACAGGGCGTAGAAGTGTTGTCCGTCTTTGTCGGCTTGCTTGGCTTGGTGGACGTCCCGTTGTGATGTCGCAAGGTGGCTGCCCTGCGCAGCATTGGCCCGCGGTTGTTTCCATGGTGGTGTGCTTGTCCTGAACAAACACTATTCCCTGTCATTAAGATTGTTCGTACACTGTTGGAACCGCCTCCTCCAAAGCTGGATCCCCTACGATGCATCCTCGAGGAGGAAGAGTTCGAGTCCCAAGTTACCACCATGCTGGCACTGCCCACAGTTCCATCCACGGAAGATATTGGCGATGTTCCACCAGATGAATGACGTGCACGTAGAACATTGGCGAACACAGTGCCTCGCCTGCTACTTGGAGAAGGGAGGTTTGAACCAGGAGACACACCTCCTCCACTGCCGACGGAAGTTGTTTCTACTTTTAGTGTTGATTCATCGGCGTCTGCTCTGTTGCTGGTTGAAGACACGCAGAGATGGTGCTGCCTGAGATTTTCTTCCCGTGTGGGTACGATGACAACCTCCGACTTAAGCGATTGAACTTTCTTGATTTTATTATGGGATGACGCTTCACCGAAGTACGGACAGGTACAAGGGGGAGGTAATGGAAATGAAACCGACGACTTCTTGCGGACCGGTGGATGTTGATTATTTGTGTCCGTTTCCTCGAAGGTTGAATAGTCATCGTCTTTAACTTTATTCAGTAGAGGATCAGTAGTATCGGATATTTGATCTTCAGAGGCAGAATCTTTGGTTCTTGGCTGAGTGTCTTTGATTGTGAGGAGGCTGTTCATATGGTCGGATCCTGATTCTTGAGAGACGACAGAAGATTCACTAGCATTTCGCTTGCGCCCTCTTTCGTCGTGGAAGCTGGAACCGCGTTTCCTTGTGAGTTCCCGCCAGTTGCGGCACGGAGACTGCTCGTCGTCGCGGATTGAATCTTCCCGAAAAGACAGCGTCTCATGGAATGTGGAAGCCCGACGGCGCCTGGAAATTCTAGGACCGGGGTACGGTGAGGAAGACCCCGATGAGTTTTGCTGCAGCGGATGTTGCAGCGATGACTGCGAACTGGTAAGACTTTCTGGGGCGCTGCTTCTCCCGCTGCAAAGGAATGTTATGTCTTATGATCACATTACTTTTTTTTTCTGGAGTTTTACAATAATGGACGTTCAATAATTGGGACTAATCAGTTTGAAATAAGTATACCGTGACGATAGTTGTCAGCATTAATTTGTGGTTTAGTCTGTACTGTTTCTTCGCTATGGTTTCAACTTTTAGATAAAGCATAAGGTACAGTAAAATTCACTACAAGCTTAGGCGTAGCGTTTTGTCTGCTCCAACAGAAGATCAGTTTAAGGCACGTACACTCTCGTTAAGAATGCGGATAACTACGAGTGTTTCCTTTTGTGCGCCTTAACATCTGAAGGTCGTACTATCAATTCAAATGGCCGTATGTTTCCATATATTAATGCTTCTCGATATGACCTGACATTCTGTGCTTGACGTAGTTCACGTTCGCGCTTTCTTAACCCTGGGTCTAGTGAATTTGAAGGACATTTGATGGCAGAATCTGAAGCACCTTTCTGTGTGATTTGTGCCTAACAGTTTCTTTTTGCTAGGATTAATAAAAATTTGACTTTAGCACGATACTTGTGAGTAATGGCATCAGGCAGAATCGCGAAATGAGTAAGCGATCCCAGCTATACACGACACTATCAACATTCGCCGAGTCTAGGGAGTGTGAAATCCTTCCTCAGATCAAATGCGACATTCCAGTGCATCGGTTGGCGAAGAGAAGAATGACGCCATTGTTTTAAGCATTTCTTTGTGAGCTGGCAAGCTTTACAATGGGCGTTAGAAGGAGCAGTTCCGATCCTGTTATAGAGAGACTCGTGTTCGTCGCTTGAGGTGTGAGGTACCGGAATATGTCGAGTGTGTACTCCTCGCTAAGCGGGAGGACTCACCTGACGGATCTCTGGACAGGTACGCTGCTCCTTTGAGAGGCTATGTCCTGCTGCCTCGGTGACCTGCCGGCCGGGGGTGTAGACAGGCCTATAGAGGCCGCAGCCGCAACGCTTTCAAGTCCGCGGGACAGACGCAGCATCTCTGCCCCGAAGTGGTGGAGTGCCGTCATGGTGGAGGGCGTAGGGTCGGGAATGCTGGAGTCTGGCAGCCAGAGCTCGTGCGTGTCTAGTGTGGTGAGCTCTGTGTCGGTGGAGGCGGCCGAGTGGCCCAGCTGGCCAAGGTGCTGTGGGGTGGAGCACGACGCTGCTGCCGGGGACTTCCCCGCTGGTGAGGCCAGCAACAGTCTGCGCCACGTGCACCTGCGCTCCATACCTGTCGGTCAGAGCAAACGGGAACATGCCATCATGCGTTCCTTGACTTGACTGGATGACTTCATATTGCTTACTGATATGTATGTCTTGGGATGCTGAGCATCTGATCAGGTTGTTAGACAGCTAAACGACAAGGGAAACGCTTCTGCAAAAAATTATACGTATTGAAATACAGTAACCACCATTTCCTCGGCGTTTCTGGCTTCATGGATGATGGTACAGATAGCACATATTTCTCTACAAATATTTTTGTCTCTTCTTTTTTTAGTCGCAACTTTATTCGCTCTGCGGACATGAAACCTGTTTTATGTTACCCACATTTTAAATTTTGTATTATAATTTATACACGAACGACAGTAGTGTTTCATTATCTTTGTTTGAAACGAACTCAAATATCCGATGTCTTTTATAGTAAATTATTTGATCCAAAACAACAGAATGATTTTTGAAATAAAAACCAATACTAGGATAGTACGGAGAACGACGAGTAATGAACTGTCATTGCATATCTGCTAGGTTTGTATGTTTTCCGTGAAAGAAGCATAACACGGCAAGTTTACGGATGGACGGTTTTATCTTGTTAACATTTGTCCGCCATTTTTGCTGTTCTGCAGGTGTGAGTGGGTCTACGGCAATGCTTATACTTTATTAACAAACGGGCTGTGTATTATTAATCTTAAATAAATGGTTGTAATCGCAAATAAATAATTCTTCTTCTGTGTTTCGTATTGGGACATATGGGCGTATTTTTTTTTATCAGAATTAATCTGGAACTCTTGATCTTCGATAGGACTCCTCGGGTGGGGAATCAGCCCCTACGCAAGGCCGCTACCTACACACAGATCAACGCAGGCATATATTCATGCCTTGAGTGGGATTCGAACCCACGATCAGAGTGTTAAGCGGGCGAAGATATTGCATGACTTAGACCTCGAGGCCACTGTGGTCGTCAAAAGAAATAAGTTAAAAAAACTAAATTGGGGATTTATACATATTTTTTAAAGTTTGGGTTTCCCTGGTACACATGTTTACTCGTTGACGTAGAACTGAACATGGGAAGTTCGAATTGCGTCTCATTTCAGACTCGGTTTAATTTGTCTTGACATTTTATGATATGCAATCAGAGTTTAAGATATCAGTCGTAATCAAGGATTAGAAATGCAAAGTTTATATATTTATGTATATTTATAAAATCTGAAATGCATACCCGATATGAGCGATTATTGATAGCCTTGTAACACCTTTTGAACTTCTGATTTATTCTTGCCTGATTATCCGTCCGCATTACCTCGAAACAGAGGCTCTCAGTCTGCCGTCAAGACGATCACGGTGGATGCACGGTCTAAAGCATGAACTGTCTTTACTCGCTCGAACGCTGGGATCATGGGTTCGAATCCCACTCGAGGCCTTCGTGTCTGTGTTTGCATTTATTGTGTTTGTCTTGTCCTGTGTGTAGGTAGAGGCCTTGCGACGGGCTGATCACTCATCCAAGGAGTCCTGCCGTCTGTATAAAAGAGATTACGAAACTGATGAAAGGCCAGCGCTCAGCAAAGGGGCGTAGAGCCATTGACGAATGAATGAGTCTATAGACTGTCGTTGTTGAACCCCGTTCTGGGACGCGGATCTGTCACCAGTCTTGGTTGAAAGTCTCCTCAGTAGAGGCCAAACCTCTGCGCAAAAGAGCACAAGAAGAGAGCGAGCTCCTGTGTATGCTAACACTGCTAAACATGCGCTCGCATGATGTCTCGACACGAGGAACCTACCGTTTTATGACTTTTCCTATTTTAGTCCCAGTATTAGTGTCAAGATTTGTATAATATCGAAGTTATGGTATGGAGCTGGGATAGCTCAGTCGGTATAGCGACAGGCTACGGGCTGGACGACCGAGGGTTCGGAGCTCGAGTCCCAGTAGTGTCAAGAATTTTCTCTTCTCCACGTCGTCCATACCGGCTCTGGGGCCCACCCAACATCCTATCCAATGGGTACCGAGGGCTCTTTCCCCGGGGTTAGAACGGTCGTGCCTACGTCAAGTAAATGTGGACCTATACATTCACTCCCACATACGTCTTCTTGGCCTAGTGCTTAATTAGTTAAGCACAGGGACAAGTTTACCTTTACGGGGAAGAGGCGCTGGAGATTAGTAGGTTGGCTGTCTGTTTAATGCAAGGTAGATTTGTGTTATGTGTGTTATACCTCCATGTCCCATGCAAATTACCTTTATTACATAGCCTACGTATGAAGTGACAGGAGTTGGAGAAAACTGCATAACGATAAGCTTCATAACTTGTACTTTTCTCCAAGTATAATTAGAATGATCAAGTCAAGGAGGATGAGGTGAGCCGGGCATGTAGCACGAATGGGGGAGAAAAGGAATGCATATAGGATATTGTTGGGAGACCACTGGGAAGACCAAGGCGTAGGTGGGTGGACAATATTAAAATGGATCTTAGAGAGATAGGATGGGATGGTATGGATTGGATAGATCTGGCTCAGGATAGGGACCAGTCGAGGGCTCTTGGGAACACGGTAATGAACTTTCGGGTTCCATAAAATGCTGGGAAGTTGAGTAGCTGCAGATTTAGCTTCTTCTCAAGAAGGGCTCAGCTCCATAAGTAAGTAAGTAAGTAAGCAAGTAAGTAAGTACATAGCCTACGTAATTGAAGTCCATTAAATCTGGGAGGATGTATGGCGTTGGTGTTTAGGTGATTTCATGAATGTAGACGCTTTATGGTTTTACTTCCTAACATCAAGAAGTGTTTCTATTAGTTAACTTCCTGGTGGTGGTAATTAGTTGCGGAGTCTAATTATTATTAGTCGTCTAGTAGCTGGCTTACTGGGGCCTGGGGTGAGACGCCGAACCACAGAGAACCACAAACTGCCTAAGGTTTGTCTTCCTCAACTCTAATCGGTGCTGTTCAAGAACTGAATCTCGGTTTTGTTTCTTAATTTATATTTATTGTAATGAATTATGTGGAAGGAGAAAGTGAGGTAAGCAGTGAACGAGAACATCCACCAGAGTGCCGGAGATCAAGTCGATGTAGCTCCCAAATTCGTATTAGGCAGTGTAAGGATACACGAGGTTTTAAGTGCAGTTGTATAGCTTCTAGTTTCGAGCGCTCCGCATAACGAAGCTGTCAGAGACAAATCAACGCCAGCTATACATCTGCTTAAAGGAAGTACTCGGCCGTATTGGGGAACTGTGAATTCACTGCCACGGAACCACAGCATAGCTCAGTGTTACCGATCCACCTGCTTTACTAGCGATACGATTATGTTGAACGATAATTCACCAGACTTGTATACAGGACTCGGCTGTCGCTTTGAATTTATAGTAGGCAGTTGGCTATATTTGTCGGTCACGGTAGCTGATCGGTCTAAGGCATGTACTGTCTTCGCTCGCTTGGAAACCGGGATCGTGGGTTCGGATCCCACTCAGGGCATGGATGTTTAGTTTGTGTGTGTGCGTTTTTCTGTGTTTGTGTACAGGTAGAGGCCTTGCGACGAGCTGATCACCCGCCCAAGGAGTCCTACCGAATATGTAAGATGTAGAAAAACCGAAGTGAACGGAGAAGTTCATGGAGGTAGGCCTAGGCCCACTGGGGCTGTAGTGCCAAGGGAAGAAAAAAAGGAAGTTCTCTATATTTACGTGATTTTCTCAGAATATAATTGTTTCTTTCCGACAGTGGTTTCCAAGCTTATGTAATGACGTCAACATGAACTTAGCAGAAAAGATTCCAACGCACCCTCTGTCTTAATGTTGTTAGTACAAAGAGCAGCCATTTCCGTGAGTAGGTACACAGTCTGGGATATAGCGCCGTATAGTCTGGTTAAAGTCAACCGACGATTCGGAGAGAGATGTCGTCTTGATCTTCAGGGCTCAAGAGTAGTCAAGCATCCGTCTCCTTCATGCTGGTTTCTTGCCTGACTTGCTGTCTCAGCCCTGAAGATGGAGGTTTCTTCATCCTGCAGTTACCGTTCATCAGACTTCACGGCGTTATATTCCCACAAGAAGGAACATTTCATAACCACCGGTGTGAGAACCTCAAATCCTACAAACTTTTCAGTGTTCCGTTCTTAATATCCACACATTTTATAGGTTTTTATCAATTAATATTTATCAAAAATTTACAAATGTTCTGGCATTTTGAGAATTACATTCAGTTTTACTGTATACGATAACTTTTTCAGAACATCCTCCCCCCCCACCCTTACCCCTAAGGGGTGACCGAACTATCGAAGCCACAAGCCTCATAATTGAAAATTCATCACCCTCGTTACATCGTTTCTATCATCAAAAGTTTTGAGTTCGTTACTTTGAGCAGTCGACATTCAGTCGTGTTAGGCCTTAAGCATATGCGCTTAGGGAATGTCGTGAACAGCTGTGATTCTAGTTTATGTCCATGAACACATTTCCCTGCTTGCTGTGAGGAGTTCGCCCGCTCCGGGTGTCTCTAGGTGGACATTATTTCTATAGTCGTTAGAGGCCTTATAGGTATGAGAAAATAAGCTAAGGGTTCGTGGTTCTTACCTAGTGAGGGCGTACCAGGACCGAGCCATCCGCTGGACCAGCCGGCACCTCCTCCCCCAAGATTTTGTTGTTGAACGGCCAACAGTCTGACTGTCAGTGCGTAGGTTAGCAGCATAACTCCGAGTGGGATGTAGAAACAGACGATGGAGCCGATGAGCTTATACAGCGGGTCAGGGATCTGGCAGGTACCTTCCACCAGCACTGAGTCATGGTCCTGCAGTAGAATCAGTGGCGTAGCCGGGTGAACGTTTGTGTGGGCGCAGGATTTGAGGTTTTGTCAAGCATAGTATGTTTTTAAGATGCAGCTATGTTTCCAGAACTTTTAAACACTTTAAACATAAGGAGTTTTTTGTTAACAATTTCCCATTGAAAGCTGAACAGAATTTTTATTGATTTGATTGCACAAATAGTGGACAGACTGAAACATGTTTCACACAAACGTTATGGCATTGACAGAATTAGAAGAGTAAACATCTAATAGTAGCAGCACATGTCATGCGTATAGCTTGTGCACCCCTATTTCCAAAAACTTTGATTTTCTTAAAGTATGTAAGTCCTCGTTGGATTTGCTGTTCTCTTAGCAGTGACCATGAAAAGTGATGTCATCTGGGGTGCAATATCTTGTCCGGTAGAAGTACGTCGACGTTTCGGAGGAACCTACTTCCTCCGTCTTCAGGCTCCAAGAGTATGTGAAGCAAGAGACCAGCAAGACGCTGGCCACAACGAGAGGATTTAGTTCCTCCGAAACGTCGATGGACTGCTACTAAAGTACACAGAGTTACGTCCCAGGTGACAGGACTCGTATCCTTGAAATAATTTTTTTTTTAAGTAGGAGACAGAAGATAGGGGCTACAGGGTTTGGAGTACCTCGGACTGGACAGACTTGCTATATACACCGTGAGTCGTGTTCTTTTTGTTTCGTTTAATTTGGTGTACATGTTAGTGAGTATGGTCTTATGGATTGTATCGCGGTTGTAGTTCCGAGAGAGCCCGACGTTTCGGAGGAGTGTATCGCCTCAAATTCGGGGTCGTATAATCCGTTTTGTTATGCTGATTTCTTGCTCGGTTTACTCTTTAAATCTAAAGATGGACACGAAATGTTCCTCCGAATCATCCGGTTATCTCCGAACTGCGTGGCGTTAAGAGCCCAGATGACTACACTCCACAGTGACTGCTGGGAATCCCCAGGTCTGACATGGTTTGCAGGCTGTGTCGAGCACTGCTTACTGAAATGGCTCGACAAATACCGTGCTAATGTGTTTATAGATTGGCGGTTTTCTATTAATATTTATGTTACGTGTAAGGTGATACAGTGTTGCAGTTACATTCGCATGCATATCAACAAATTAAAGTAAGTACAGTACACGTATGCACATTAGTATTATGGCTCTATATTCCTTTGTTGGACCTTGGCTGCCTTTTCGGTTTCTTGATCCTATACACAGACGGCAGGACTCCTTGGACGGGGGATCAGCCCGTCCCAAGGCCTCCACCTACACACAATACTGACATCTATGCCACGAGTGGGATTCAAACCCACGACCCCAGTGTTCAAGCGAACGAAAACAGTCCATGCCTTATACCGAGCGCCCACGCATGCGTATTTCTTTTAACGAAATTCGTCTTTTTGTTGCGTCCCGTGCATGTGCGTTACATTTACATGATTTTAAACTTACGAAAATAATACGAGTTAAATTTACGCATGGCCGCCATCGTTACTGTCGAATAACAGTTTATTACAAACTTCCGTGTTCAGTAGCTATTGTTGAAATATTTTCTAGAAGTTTCTGATTCTGTGACTGTAATTAGGCGCCATGTGGAATGTGTGATCCAGGAACTGGCATAACATTGTGTGTTGTTGCAAGCACATTAGCAGAAGTTCCACAACTGCTTGTCCTTGCGAAATGGCTTCAGATGTATGTACCTGAAAGCAGGAGTTGGACACTGCAGCTTGCTCCCAGTAACCATGCAAGTGCTTACACCACTACTCCTATGCTCGTAAGTATTTCTGCACCTCATCATTTTCCGTCAGTTACAACACAGGTCGGCTGTTTACCCATCATGTTTTAACATCTGTATTGTCATATTTATGGATATATATTTCTAGGTTACAAACTAAACCTTAGCTCATTGTTATTATTCGTGGTTGTACATATTTTTTAGCATTTCAGGTGCCCAGGTTCTTTTGTAGAGAACCGTCCTAAATATAAGTACATTATTACATTACAAATGTGATGGTACAATTTTGAAACCTCCTATGCTTAAGATTTAAATTCTTATGTATAGGACGGTTCACGAAAAAAAAAATAATAGTTTGAAATGTTCAAACGTCTTATCACAGTGGCCGCGCGGTCTAAGGCATGAACCGTCTTCGGTTTGCTCGAACGCTGGGTTCGTGGGTTCGAGTCCCACTCGACGCATAAATGTCTGTGTGCGTTTATTCTGTGCGTTGTTATGTGCTTAGGTAGAGGCCTTGCGACGGGCTGATCCCCCAACGTAGGAGTCCTACCGACTGTGTATAGGATTAAGAAACTGAAAAATCGACTAAGGTCCAACAAAGTGACTCTAAAGCCACAGACGGAAATGCTCAAAAGCGGGTAGAGCCATGCACATTAACTTTGAGCTAAATAAAAATATATAACCTTGATAGCTCAGTCGGTACGGGCTGGACAACCGAGGGGACGGAGTTCCGAGCCCCGGTAGGTTCAAGAATTTTCAGTTCCCCTTCCCCTTGACACAGGCTCTGGGGCCCAGCCAGCCGCCTATTCAATGGGTACCGGGGGTAAAGCGGCCGGTGCGTGAAGCTGACCACACCTCCAACCAGTACCGTGGTCAAGAAAATGTGGGTATATACATACACTCCCCCATACGCCTTTACGGCGTAGTGTTTAATTAGTTACGTAAAAGGGAGACTTTACGATTACCTTACCTTTGAAAATGGCATTGTAGATGTCGAAACGTCCGACAAACACCCAGGCTAAATGTGATGCAGTTGGCGATATGTGATAAATGATAATAAATAATATTGTGGATTACCAGGGCACACAACTCAACCATAAAGGAAGAAGCGCTCTGGAGACTTGAAGAAACGGTAATACTTCGTAAGTGTACTCTTAGAAACTTTGAAAGACGAGTTTTAATATCGTCATGTTTGTGTGAAGCGGAACTGTGGCTTCCAGCAGTTTTCTTTCCTGAAAGTCATTGAGAGTAAGAGAGTGAGTTCCTTAGTTTGAAGTTTGAAGTTTTATCAGCTTCATGAATCATGGACGATTTGTAATTGGCAGTGGTTGGTATAGAACCGAGTCCCTGTTTCATTTGAGTCGTCCCTACTAATATGAAACAAAAAAGCAATAAAGATCTGTCAATATAACGACGAATTGTCTGAAGACGGAGGCGGCAAATTGCCGAAACGTCGTATATATCATATATGTGGACTTCATACAATAGACATTGGCCACCATAACGCATCTACAGTGTATAAAATCTTTCGGGATTGTTTTATTTGAATTATATGCACAGTAGTGAATTAGAAAGACAAACGAGGCGTTCGACTCATTCCGACTGTACATTTTTTTTATTCTTCACAACTAAATGATTGCAGGATGCGCCTGTTGTCTGTGCTGTGTCTGTCAATCCGCATGTAACCCCTCCAGAACAGCTGAACAGATTTTCTTGAAAATTATTGTCGGTTGGTTTTACTAAAACATGACTAATTGTAATTTTGATGCATGCAGGATCTTCATGTTATTTAGCCCGCCCGGGGCCAAATATTCTCCGTAGCACGTTCTCAAATACGATTTACTGAGAATCACGGTTCAAAGTGGAACCAGTGTGTAAATCCATACCCTGTACCCAAAATAAATCTGGCACTTCCTATAGTTGTTCGCCTAAAGGGAGCAAGGATGGCGCAGTCGATACAGCGACTGGCTAAGTGCTGGACGACTGAGGGGTCGGAGTTCGAGTCCCGGTAGAATAAAAAATATTCTCTTCACAGCGTCCAGACCGGCTCTGGGCCCTACCTAGCCTCCTATCCAAAAGGCATCGGGGGCTCTTTCACCCGGGGGTAAAGCGGCAGGGTCATGTTACCGACTGCTCACCTCCAACTAGTGCCGAGCAAAAGAAAATGTGGATCTATACATCCACTCCCCCATACGTCTTCTTGGCGTAGTGCATAATTAGGTAAGAACTGGGACAAGTTTCAATTCCGACAGTTTTCCGGGGAAGTATTACACGTATTCAGGTAAAGGCATGCATGATTTACAGTTGGCCAAAAAATGTTTTTTTTTTTAAGTTAATTAGAATTGGCAGTACCAGATTTCGTGTAACTAATTTGAAAGACGGATCAAAGGACAAGTAGTCAGTAGGTGTGGGCGTTTCATATTGAAAGTCGCCTGTCTCATTTTGTTGAATCCCCAGCTTCTGAGCCCCGGCTGGAAAGTGTGGGACTCTAGAAACCTAAGTTCCCATTGACTCGGAAATGCATGAAATAACGGCTGGAAACCCGAGTTTCGAATTTTAAGAGCCAACTCGCAAGTCTTCGATATGTACGTGGAGGGATATGAACGCTGTAAATATTACCACCAAAATCAGATATATTGGTGTGCAGGAAATATATTTAAACGCTATTAATACATGAGGCCTGCAAGCCGAAATAGCGGGGCCAGAGCAGACTTTCATTGCTAGGCAACGACTCGGTAAATGCATTCCCGCGACAACAAATACGCAAGAAGCAATCAAAGAACTGCCGTTCCTATACATCGGCCAGGTTAACACACCTCTGTAACAATAGATGAATTATTAGGAAACGTTTTCTCTTAGGGCCGATCTGAGGTTGTATATCGAGGATTACAGGCAAGCTAGAATTAGAATTGAGGAAGTCTCTGTGAGATGGCAGTCGAAGATGATTGAGAAGAAAGGAATTAGGCTGTGCAAAGGAGACTTCGCGTGTGCTGTAGTTGCAGTGAGATTTATAAATCTGTTGCCGGGATACGACTAGTGACGACTAACAACATCAGTGTGTGTAACGGTGAACTTTAAAGTGTGTAGATCAGCGGTAACGCTTTATTGCTTGTAATTACGAGTGGTTTGTATAAGATGTTAATAATGCAGTCATCCACTACCTACCTCGTCTGATAGTCGCACCCCTAAATACGTGACATTATTCTAATTAACATACTCGAAAAACGAAGTATGTGAAGAAAATTCGTTATGTATGTCTAAACGTATTATCGGGCAAGATTTCTCTTTAGTGGAAGTTGTAGAAGAATTTTAAATATTGCAAACTTCTAATTGTCAGACTTAGATATTTGAACTGAAGTTTATGCAAAGCGATCGGGCTTTATCGCTGTAAAACTGTCGGTGACCACAAGGGCTGGTGCCTACAAAATATGGTAACACTTTGATTTGTGTATTAATTTATGAAGTGAGTTGGAATAAACAGTGAAAGTAAATATAAAGATGAGAACCTGGGAGCTCACCTGAGAGTACATGAGGCAGAGCGGTAGGCTCATCGCAATGGAGAGCAGCCACACGAAGACGATCTTGAGGGTGACTCTCTTCCTCGTCTTGTTTCTCCCGAACTTCATGGGGTACCGCAGGCTCAGGTAGCGGTCCACACTGATGGTACACAGGTGCATGATGGAGGCCGTGCAGAACAGAACGTCCAGGCAGATCCATGCCAGGCAGTAGATAGACGGTAGCGGGAAGAACCCTGTCAACATCACACAGTCACTTGTAAATACGAGTTACACGTTAGTACAGTAGTGTGACACCCGCTGAGAGCTCACTGGCAAGTCCCATATCGAACAAATAGACGATTGGGTGTCCTGCCATATTATTATCGTTTCGGGATGTGTTTTGTCTCATCGACGTTTCTACCATACAGTGTTGTGGCATCAGGAAGTGTTTTGGGCGTCTGTTTCATTTGTGTTCATTGTAGATAAATATGCCTGTCAGTGTGTTTTGTTCGTCCATGTTTGTGAACCGGCCTTAACTATGCTCTGTTCGGAATGTCTACGAAGTACGTGTAAACAAAACATCGGCGTCGTCACGACAACGTGTTCGCCTTTTCTTGGCTTACACACCGGGGACATACTCTTTAAGCACTCCACGAGGAAGACTCAGTAAATAAGTCGCATATGGATGTGAACCTAAAAACATGTGATATTCGAACCTGGAAAACGCATGTGTTCCGCAGCGTATCCTCCACCAACAGTGATACTCTTGTCCCGTAGCTTTACCAGTGCGTCGAAACCTGCAGCATACAAGTCTACTGACTGTTGTTTCAGCCACTTCCTCTCATGGTCAGGCGATATCTGTGATTTTCGAACGTCCTTGAGAGAATTTCTCGACCCAGTTGTGGACCGCTTTACGCGAGAAATACTTCCCACCGTAAACAGGAAACACATATTTATGCATGTCCTCTGCATTGAGTCCTTTTGCCCACAGAAACCCACAATAGAACGCTGATCTTCGGTAGTACTGTCTCAAGCACGGTCGCCATTTTCGCTACTGAAACCAGCCTTTGAACATGCGCATGCGCATTTGCTACGGAGACTGACATGAAGCTGGACTGTGCTGCTACGTAGTGACACACATAGAAGACCTCTTACGTCAATTACAGCTGTTTTACTTCCATCTGTGACCAATTTAGTGACTCTCCTTCGTAGTGTCAATCCTACGCGGTGGTCTCATTGCTTTGGGTGTTCCGGCAATAGTGGAGTGTGCATTTGTCACCTCCCCTTTTCGTGCTACATGTCCCACCTTTACCAACTTCCTATATTTCATCACCCTCGTAATGTTTGATGTAGAGTAATTTCTGTTATTTTTTGTTCGCTTGTTTATTCACGCATTTGCTTTTGCTCGAAACTATTTGAATCAAAGTCATTTGCTTTTGAAGGAGAAGTTGTGGTCACGTGAAATCGAAGAGAAAGCAGACGACATCTTACAGAAGACTGCTTACAATATGTAACGTGTTTTTTTCGACTACAAAAACATTATTATTTGTATTGTATTGGGGGAGTTTGTAAGGAAATAATTCAATACAGAGGCTACTTTGAGACCTCTCTCTGTGGCATGTTAATAAAGTTAGTGCTATTTTGAATTCTCGAGTTACAGCCTGACATCCGATCACTTGTAAGCCAGTAGACCTTGCATTGTACGTCTAATGGAAAGTACACACTAGAACACTGAATGCAACGCAAATTCAGTCTTGGCCTCGGATGCTATTTGTGTCTAGGTAATGATTGTATGTTGGTACTGTGTGTGTACGAAAAGTCGATTCTCCAAGCACTGTTAACATGTTTTGTCAGCTCTATTTGATTATATAGAAAATATAAAAGAAGGCAAGTCGTTGCGATGGGATGGATAATGGCGTACCAGTTACCTAGAAATAGCCCTGTCTCACCATTATGTACCAAACAATAACATCTCTCGCTGACGTGGTTTTGAAAAGTTGGCGGTTCACTGTACTTCGCTGTTTACATTGCACAAGAACGGGTTTTTTTCTGCATATTCTAACATCATTTTTCCATGGATCGATCCTAATGTTCTTATCAGCTAATGAAAATTGTGTACTTCCGCATTGCAGCTGATTTATTTATATATCTTGGAGCTGAATTTCCATCCCAAGTGAGAGATAAAAGTAAAGTAATTAAGTAAAGGTATCCCTGTAACAGGCCGTGGAGGACCGTATGGTTGTGAGAGGTTGAGCTTCCCACATTTTCTAAACAATCGGCTCATAGATGGCGGCAAGGTTGTCAGCTCTACGCGCCGGCCGCCTTCACCCCAAGAATGTTCCTGGTACTCATTTCTGTTAGAGGCTGAGTCGACCTTAGGGCCATAGTGCGGCTGGAAGGATTAGGTAAATTGAAAAAAAAATTCAATGACCTCATGACGACTTGAACCCGCGACCTTCCGGCTTGTAGGATAGTGCCTCAACCAACTGCCCTTACCAAGTGAGAGATACACTTCTTAACTGTTTATATACAGACATAGATAGATTGTTACGTCCAGCGGAGATGTTAGAAAGTCCATGATTTATTTCAACCGTCTTCCAGTGCATCCACTCATCTATCTCCTCACTCGCACTACATGTTTCGGCACAAAAGTGCTATCTTCAGGTGCTTATTCGATTTACGCTAAACTAGTTCATTGCATGCCTTGTCGTCTTCATATTAAAACAACTAAAATATATATTTATCATATATATTGATAAATGGTAAATGTTAAAAATATTAAAATTGTTCAGGATTTTTCATCCCTACGTCGTATCTCACTACGCGAGTCACACCTATCCTCTTCTGTTGGAGCAAAGCAACACAAAGCACAATACACACACGATAGTGAAAGAGTGCTCCAACAGAAGAGGATAGGTGTGACTCGCGTAGTGAGATACGACGTAGGGATGAAAAATCCTGAACAATTTTAATATTTTTAACATTTACCATTTATCAATATATATGATAAATGTATATTTTAGTTATTTTAATATGAAGACGACAAGGCATGCAATGAACAAGTTTAGCGTAAATCGAATAAGCACCTGAAGATGGCACTTTTGTGCCGAAACATGTAGTGCGAGTGAGAGGAGGAGATAGATGAGTGTATGCACTGGAAGACGGTTGAAATAAATCATGGACTTAAATCAGTGCAACAGGACGCTAAAATATAACGATGTTAGAAAGTAAAAGATCAAGTTTTACCTTCCCTTAATTAATTAAGCACGGCGCCATGCATACGTATGGAGCAGTTGAATCCTTGACTTCGACACTAGATATTAATAAAATACATTTCTAAATATCTCCACTTATAGGAACACATGAGGTTGTTTGAGAGCAGGGCGTTGAGGAGAATATTTGGACCGAAGAGAGATGAAGTGACAGGAGGTTGGAGAGAACCGCATAATGAAGAGCTTCATAACTTGTACTCTTCTCCAAGTATAATTAGAATGGTCAAGTCAAAGAGGATGAGGTGGGCAGGTCATGTAGCACGAATGATGGAGACGAGGAATGCGTATAGGATATTGGTGGGAAAGCCAGAAGGAAAGAGACCATAGGGAAGACCAAGGCGTAGGTGGGTGGGCAATTTAGAATGGATCTCAGAGAGATAGGATGGGATGGTAAGGATTGGATAGATCTGGCTCAGGATATGGACCAGTGGAGGGCTCTTGTGAACACGGTAATGAACTTTCGGGTTCCATAAGATGTTGGGAAATTCTTGAGTAGCTGCAGAATTGCCGGCTCCTCCAGAAGGGCTCAGCTCCATGAGTAAATACAGGAACATAACTTACACAGGAATTTACATGTATGCAAGATGATTGTAATATATAAATAATTCCTTTATGTATATTCTTTTATTTACCTAACAGAATAAAAAGTATCCTTGGATATTAAGTCCTTTTCAAGGGCACTCAATAGTGTATTTTTTCGTGGCACAGTGCTACAAGTTGCAGTGTCACGAGTTCGATTCCAGATTGTCATTGCACTCTTCAATTGTACCAATCCTTCCAGCCGCACTATGACCCTGGCGTCGACTCAGCCTTCGACAGAAATGAGTACCATGAAGATTCCTGGGGGTTAATGGCGGCAGGCCCGTAAGGATGACAACCTCATCGCCATCTATGAGCCAATTGTCTAGAAAACGTGGAAGCCTCGATGTCTCAGAACCCTATGGGCCTCCACTGCCTGTTACAGGGATAGCTTTGGCTCATTATTTTATATTCTTATATGTATTATATTGCAGATGTTTATAGTTTAAACATATCTGAAGAGTTGTTCTTTCGGTGCGCGTTATGACAGGACTTATGTGCGTTATCTTTCGCTTTCATCATCCTTCGCTTATTCATGTCACGAAATTACTGAATGTTGGGGGTCATTAAACAAGGAAGTGGGAAAAGTGTTTTGACTTAGTCTTGAAATGTTATTAATGTGGCTACGGTGGTCGAGACAAGTAATGTCTGCAGAATTATTGAAGGGATTTTTTGTTTCTTTCGGAATGCCTAGTTGGAACACGGACGAAGCGGCGCGGGCGCAACTGCAAGACGTACCTTTCGGTTCTGGTACTGTAGTGTTAGTTGGTTGTCTTTTGTGGTTGGGAACGACGTACAGAACAGCGAGGTTCTGACACGCGGGAGGAGATAGGGCTCCCATCAACGAGCCGTTTCAAAAATGGATTTTCGATAACACATTCAACACTCTGTAGTGACAGAGGCTTTGCTGTGTGTGTCTGAAATTTAGCGCTCTGCACGTTCGATTGCAAAGACAGTAGACAAACACAATCTGTGTGTATCTGAGCGTCACATGCAACCGAGTTATCCATTTCAACAGTCTGCAGGCTCCCTTAAATAAAAGAGTTTTGATGAATTCATGTTTGTCTACTGTGTAGGATGGATCAATTGAAAGAGACTATACACGATGTCCCGGGAGGAAAGGTCAGTATTCTTGGAGGTCATAGTATCGGTCATTTAAGCAAAAAACAGTGTATATGTACATGTTTCCTATTTCGAGCAGTTTCCGAGAGAGAGCTATTTCACTGTACACTGTACAGACGAGCAACACGCCATGCCCTCACACGAGTTGCAGAGTGCATTGATGTTGACGGTGGAATTTTCTAAAATGTATTACACTAGGTAAACTGTGCCAGCTTTGTCACTTGAACAATAAATACGGTATTAGAAACAGTGCGTAACGTCTCCTTTAAACAATTCTGGAA